CCTACTTCCCGTGATAATAACATTCAGGCAAGAAATTCGAGACCACAGCCTGAAAGAGAACGGAGATTAAGCAGTATGTGACTATAAATACCCATTCTGAGTAATGAGCATGTTATTGAAGTTCCTCTCTGAGCTGCTTAGTCGTGGTTGCCGTGTTTATTGGTCATTGTTTAGACAGGAGGAAAGCCTTTTATGGATTAATTTGATGTAAAAATCTCAAGCGCTCCAAATAGAAAGCTCTGTGTGGCATTTAGGAACATTACATAACCTCCGCCATAAAAAACACAATATCCAAACATTCAAGCGTTCATGATGTATTTTACAGAAAATAAAGTAGTCAAACAAAGAGCTTTCACTGTAATTTACCGTTAAAGTGTGCAGTTGAAATCTATTTGACAATTTGCGATTGTTCACAGGCCAATGCTGTAGGAAAACAGCGATTCCATAAAGAGAACTCTATAAACATGGCCATATCAGAGAAACAGCATTTGCTGTTGCTTTCATCCGCATCCATATTGAGCTCTATTTAACAGCGGCGGCCTTTAATTGCAAAGCTAAAATATTAGCAGAGACATTACTCACAGCAGAAATGCAACAAGAAAGGGGAAAAAAAAAACAAGTGTGGGCTCATTCCACGGGAAACTATTTACTCAAGATAGATGAGATAAAGTGTAGTCAAGGGGCCCCGAAAAGCCTTGCGTTATCGAATTACAAATTACTTCCGCTATATGGCTCTCAAATAATAACTAGGAACATTTCTGACTGGCAAGAAAGAGGAAAAGATGCATAAAGGACAAACAAGGAAGTGATGTTTTCCCAATGCTCTTGCCACATGCTCCTTGAAGCAAAGCTATTATCAGACATATTCAGTCTCATTAAATGTTTATAGGGGAATTGCACAGAGCATGGCAATAAATCATAGGATGCACACAAAAAAACGCATCTAAACGCCGCACGGAAAACCAGGCCACGATATGAAAAATGTGAATTAAACCCCCGATGTGGTTTCAAGTGGCATTTCACCTGTCTAAAAAACAGATTTCCTGCCAGCATGTGCACAAGAATAAAAAAATACAAAATCTTGGCCCAAAAAGGGTGAGCTCCATTTTTTTTTTTTTTTTTTGGCAATGAATTATTAAACTTGCCTGTAAGTAGTCCAGAGGGGATACATGCAACTAAAAATCAAGCTCAATATTTACTTTCTCAGCAGAGCATTTCGAATCAATGCACGTCATGGCTGTTTCTCTCCGCTTACTTTACAACACTACACGAGCTATTCAAGTGTTGACACGCACACTCCTTTTCCAGAAAGCTGAAAGGGGAGGGAGAACAAAGTTGATTCATTTGAGCGAGAAACCTCAACGCTTCTCCTGAGGATTTATTGCAGAGAATGAGCTTTTAAAACTTAAGGGAGTCAGTGGAGCAATTAGTCCAAATCACAACGGAGGACACTAAAAATATCAGCATAGCCTCAAATGTCAATCCTGACGATTCATATGGCCAAAATTTGTCTTCTAGGATTTGCTGAGGGAACGAGGAACAAGTACACTGTGACACTGTTCTTAAAGAATAGGTGTGTGGAAAACTAGTCCATTTACGTTGGAATCAGTTAATCCTGTTGGCCTTTGGGGGGTTGTGTGACGCTCTGCTGGGTCTATGACAGACAATTGTTGGGCTACTTTGACAACATCATTTTAACAGTGTGTTTAAAGACGCTAGGGACGGATTGTGAGTCGGTGGGAAATGTGAAAGCAGGCGCTCAGCACTTAATAAGTAGTCGGTTGCACTCTTTGCTGTCAGAACAACAAACCTCCAACGTCCCGAGGAACATTTGATGTAAATAATGAGAATTCGGGTTTTAATTTGATATGATGTATGTATGATACAAAACACTTTCTGGAAAATGATGTGGATGACTATGCACTTCTCTCTCTCTTTTCTTCTTTGAGAAGAAGGGATGTTGTCCAGACACATTTTATGATTCATAAAAGAATATAGAGCAGCTGTTGAGCTCGAACCCAGGGCAATGCAAGAACTAAAGTCCTCATTTCAAAAGCCTTTCATGGAAAAGCCAAAGTGTGCTGACATGGTGGTCCAAACATGGCGTAGACACCTGAGAGACTTTGACAAATGAGTCAACTCTCTGATCTCTTTGAAAACCTTTTACTTCTAACCTTCATTTCTGAGATTAGTGTTGACTGTCCATCACAATAATAATATAGAAAATTGACGCAATTAACTCATTTTTTCCTCCCACTTTCTATGACTAGCATTATACGCACAGGCTAATAATTACTCATTCTGTCGCTCTCTCCTGTACTTGGATAATTGTGGCAAAATATGTAGGCCTATATATCAAGTTAAAAGTAACATATACACCCAACCCAACTTTGGGTCAAATATGGACAAACCCAGCCATTGGGATACATTTTTGAATTATTTTTTTAACCCAACGTTTGTGTTTGTCCATATTTGACCCAAAGTTGGCTTAAAACAACCCAGCATTTTTAGAGTGTACATATATATATAATATATGAAGAGTTCAGATGCAAAAGCCTCTAAGTGCCATTTGAAATTTTCTTCTAGAATGATCATTTTTATCAAGCTTGTATATTTAAGTTCAGTGATTTCACTTAAATGGCAATGATAATTAGCTACCTATTAATTGTTATTTAAGTGAAATTACTGAACTTAAATATACAAGTTTGATAAAAATCATAATTAAAGAAGAACATTTCAAATGGCATTTAGAGGCTTTTGCATCTGAACTCTTCATATATATATAAAATATATTTTTTTTTATTTATTACAATTATTAAATAATAGATTATAATTCCAATATAATAATAGTACATTAATTTGGGGATCCAAATTGTAAATAAAAAAGATTGCAAAAGATTGGGGTCGGTTCCATTTTAAAGTCACAGTAAAGATTGTACAAATCTTTACTGTGACTTTAAATTTAATGCATTATTACGGAATACAAGTTAATTTCATTCGACATTTGACATTTCATTCTAATAAAATTGGGCAGGTTTGATTTATATGCAAATTTAATGTTTGATGATCGTGTTAGCTTACATGTACGTATAAGAAATGCTTCTAATCGCTTGTTTCTGCTGCTTCTTCGCTTGGTTTTTGATCCGGCGATTCTGCACTTTTTCAGAAGATAGCGCCCCCTAACATATAAGAGTGAAAACATGGAAAGCAGGAAAATTCTGTCAATGGAGGGGAAGCGTTTTGTCATAAATAACGTAACATTGTAAATGGCGGGGAATGTGTGGGGAAAACTGATCTGTCCATTTAAAATAAGTTAATTTCTCCTTTAAAAACAACTTTACTGCCCGTGGCAGTGTATATCTGTGATTACAAGTTTTAAATGTGCAATAATTATGATTAATCACAGCAATCTGTGTACAACACGACTCCACCCTTGCACTGTGTTGGTCATGCTTTTGGATTGCATTTGTGTTCTAGTGTAGGACTATCTTTCTGGTCTGATGCCCATTGCAGCAGGGGGTGGAATGTCTTAAAAAATGTCCAACATGAAGCTGCTAACTTCACAAAACATCTCCACTGGCGACTGAGGGTTTCTGGAGGTACAACCGAATACCCTCCACCGATCTGCCATATGGGAAATCTAAGCACGCCATTGTAGAATTAATTTGAACTGATAAATAGTGACCCTGCAGTCACAGTGGCGTAAACCACAAATTACACGTGCCCCCTCCCACACAGCCAGCACTTATCCAATGAAGGATATCTCTCAAGGCTGTGTGTTGGCAAGACTGCATCTGGATCTGCATGTTATTCATTATGGAATGGGAGGGGGTATCATACCTCACCAGACAATTATGTAAATTACACTCAAAGGTAAAACATTTTGTGATTTTAAGAGGCCATTTGTTGCTAGTGGAGTAAGAATTGGAGTATACGGAATGTGCAAACTAGTATGACTTGTATGAATTGAAAGAGATTTTGGCCCTTCAGTTTCTCCTTGAATTCTTAATAAGACACATGGATGAAGCATATGGGCTTTTAAAAATGCATGACCTTTAGTAATCCAACCCAGATTGTGAAACAAGTGGGAAAAAAATGGAATCAAACAGAACAGAGGGAAAGAAAAAAAGAACATTTCAGGACGTACAGTGTGACCTCATACACATCAATCAATTGTAAGTGTTGCGCAACGGTTCGAAATAAAAACAGTCAGAGCTAATAAGCACCCTTTCCTCACTTAATGCAAATAATGACTATAATTCCCGTGTTTCTAAATGGCTGAGTGGTTTTAAGATATAGATCAGCCAATAATAAAAATGCTGTCACCATCAAGTCAATCCAAAAAGAAACAAAAATGACGCAAACCCTTTTTTTGGTGTTAAAGACACACAGTGAAATATTAGCTCAGAAAAGGCATGGACACTGTTATTTTTGCGGCTGACGTTATTGCATATGTATTTGTAGGAGTTTCTCCTTCAGACACATGGGAGGAGAGTATATGAGGTGATTTATTGAGGTTTTCGCTAGTCAATTTACTGGTACAGTATTTGAGCCATTATTTACCGACCGACAAAAACATGTCGCTATTTGCGCTGCTTTTGGTAGATTGCGTTGGCCATTATGGAAATGATCCGGCTGCGTCTGTGTTCTTGAGAATCTGGCCCTTAATATTTTGCATAGAGTACCATACGTATCTATTGCTCATGCTTTGTTATGATGCTCAGATTGCAAAGCCATTAATCATTATTTGCCATGTACACACAGCTGCAAATTTGGTTGTCAATTGATTTTTTTTAGTGCTTAATCCTAAATTTGCAATTTTGGATGGAAACATGGCAAATGATGACAGGAATAACGAACCTAGCGCAGGGAAGAATGAAATAAATCAATTGTTCTTTTAAACATTGTGTGATAAGTTCGCATCTTAGCAAAAGTCTATTTTTAGGTGAACACAAAATCCACTCTGTTTGTCAAACAGCAAACAAACTACCAAATATTTAATTACAACATTCAGCAGCTCATGTCCTATCTTGTTAAACAACAAGCAGCTGCCATAAATAGAAAAGAGAAGTGCGGTGAATTCGCTGGAAAGGCTTTAAACCAATTTGGAGACAGCTTTGTTTACCTAAGTTGTATGACTGAGGACAGGCTCTGATTGCAAAATCAACTAGGTAATTCTGCCTGGAGTTCCATCTATTTTTCTCCCTAATGGGTAAGAAAAAGGGAGTGCCTGATGTTTCTCAATATATAAAAAAGAAAAGTCACTTCCGTGCTCATACAATGAATGATGAATCCTTTCCAAGTATTCAAAGCTTCAAAAAGCCACATGTACTAACCAAAAACCATCATCCGTTCCCTCCCAAAACTACTCCCAGATTTAACATTGGACAGCAAGCACTTACGAGTATTAATATTGTAACAAACAACATAGGCTCAACAATATGCTAAATGGTCAATGGCAGGTAAGATTGTCCACAAAAAGGGAAAATCTAGTTTAAAACACATTCTTATGAAATGTACTATTTGTATTCATGATGGGATTGTGAAAAGAAAAACATTATACACACAATGGGTCTCATTTATGAAATATTCGTAAATATACGAGTAAATATGAGAGTGATCCCCCCACTTGGAATTGATTCCCTGTTTAGGAATATGCAAAAGAAATGATTATGAACAACCCACTTCTTTATTAGCCTGGATGGATTTGATGGGCAGACAGACTGGATGCTGGGTAATCCAGCAGGGGCTGAGCTATGTGACGAGAACGCTGTGTGTACGGTTACAGCGTGATTGATGCTCACTGCTGGGGGGATTATTAATGAATGATAGCACGTTGTTTAGTGAAAAGATAGACCCATTTATATTTCTCGTCAAGACGCCACTCAGTTTAGATGATTCAATGTTAATAATTTGCTCTTAAAGAAAATGGATTTCTTCCGATGATGTGTTTTTCTCCTTTATAGTGATTTTGAATTGCAGAGGACATTTGAGTGTGTTCGGGTTTCGTCTGCGCCTTCATTTAGATGGCAAGTTTACCACATACACTGCAATAAAAATGGGTCATTTATTTTCTTTCCCTGCAGATCTCAGCAGTGCTATCGACGCTGCCTAGGAGAAACCTTAAACAGCCCGACAGTAACCCGAGTGCTCTTAATAAAACATTTGAAGTATTTTATAAGGATTGTGGGGTAGTGCTGGGAAATTTATGGAGGGGTGAGAATAATATTAGTATTTTGCAGGCTGTGGCAAGAGCGTTTTCGTGAGAAGGAGGTTCTTGATCAGTGGTTTTCAACTTGCGGGTCATAAGTCAAACACAAGTTGTGGATTGTTTTTGAAAGGGTCACATACAGCAGGGAAAACAATGATAAATGTAAATAGCGTTATCAAGAGAATCAGAATTCAGTTGACATTTAGTCGTTTATAAAATTGGGTCAATGACATGACAGTTAATTGTTTTGTCTTAAGTAATTTATCCAGAAATACATCCAATATTAATGTATTGTATTGTATTGTAACTGTTCTGATATTATAAAGAATGAAAAGTCCTTATTAAAACAATTCTTAAAAATAATATTTTAATAAAAATAACAATATACCTGAATACTTATTGATAGTTGAAAAACTTGTCCACCAACTCACATTTTTGTGGCACAACCTACATGCAGAAAATAAACAGGAAATGAAATCATAGGTTCTGCAGATCCTTATGACTGTGGGTTAAGGTCAGTAAGTCTCTTAAAATATCAGATAAATTGACCTTTTCTCAAAGTGAGTTTAGTTCAGGTAGTAAAATATAATATCATGTGGTGTGACTCTCCAAAAAAATTTAATGATATTTATGAATGAATAATTCATGATATTTGGGAAAAAATTATACTTTTTGCTTTGAAAAATATAGACATAAGAGTACAGTTTACTTCATTTTTACATTTTTAATTGGAAAGTTTTCTTATCATTATTTCATTTTTAGATATATTATTATGGTGTTATTATTAATTTATATATATATATATATATATATAATATTAATATAATAATTAATATATGATTAATTAATATTAATATTATATATTACTATATATATATATATATATATATATATACACACACACAAATTAGTACACACAAATTAATTAAAATACAATGATATATAAACTCTTTTAATAATGTAAATAATATGTAATAAAAAATTATCTTAGTTTTACCATTGTGAATGCATATGCAAAAAGCCCCAGATATAATAATAATAAACAAATTATATTAAAACAATGATATATATATAAAACAATGATAATTATATATATATATATATATATATATATATATATATATATATATACATGTATTTTATTTTTATTTAATTCTAATTTATTTATAGAATTTATGAGATATATAAATGTATTATTATCTGGGTCTATTTGCAATTGTGTATGTGCATATTGCATACTGTATATTTTGTTTTATTTATTTTATTTATATATATATATAACCAAAAAGAAATTAACAAATAAAATAATATACAAAAAAATAGACAGACTCAGACGTGCTTACTGTACATCAATGCAATCGTCTTCACCTTGATAGCAATCCTCATCCATTAAAACTTCATTGATACGCAGGATTGTTTTATCCAGCCGAGAAACGTAGTTTGCATATCATCTGGCCAAACAGCGGTGGATGTTTTGACATTCTGTATTTCCTACACAGCGCGATGCGTGAGGGCTCACGCTTTTCAGAAACAATTACAGAATATGACAGAGCTCATGTTTTAAAGCGAAACACACACTGGAATGAAAACGCAACGTCGAGTCTCTATTCTCTCTGCCATCTCTGATTCAATCAGCCTGGTTTGCTTTACATTAATGCAGTTTATTAGATCATTGGACTGAAAACTTAGTGGAATCGGATTAAACTCTAGACTTCTAAGATTATCCATGTGTTAACGTTTTACCAAGACCTACTTTTAATATTATATTAAGCGCATATTGACAAAAATACTATGTATTGATGTTTTAATATAGTTCGGATCAATTATTTGGTTGATAAAATGGTAATGAAAGCAGAATCATTAAGTGGAATTAGAACCTGAATCATTAATTTCCTGCCGATTCTCATCACTAATCCCAATTCTGCCTGGAGGAGCAATAAACCCCTGCAAGGAACAAAGAGATGAGATCACTTGCCACACAGCACATGTCACAATGATGAGAACAACTTGAGAACATTAGCATGCTCCTCCGAAGCGCCAGTGAAAATGTGTGTAACTCCTTCCATAAAGCAGCTATTATGCAGTAAGATCATAAGAATATGCTCACATAATAACACTGACCTCCTAAAAATAACCTCGTGAGAGGCAGGAAATGAATCAAGAGAGAGAAATAATAGTGTGGCCATTACATGGCATCAACCTACAAACTCTCTTCAATAATTCATCAGTACAACCCTCCACCCCCCCCCCCCCCCGCTCTCACATTAAATACGTCCGTCTAAACATTCCCTGCATCCTCCACTCTCTTTCACCCTCGCCTAACTCCCTTGCATCCTTCAGATAAAAGAAGAATTTTCCTCTTATTTCTCTCTGGCTTTTCTTCTCCCTTGTTTATGCATTTTGTATGGGAGGGTCTGGCGATATCTTTCTAATAAAGGGGTCATATCATAAGGAATTGAGTTTTGCTTGATCTGTTCAGATAAAAGAGTTCATTGGACCATTAAACACAGTAACTTAGCTCAAAAACACATCCATCCCTATCCAAAAAGAGCATGTTGAAACTGAGCTGCAACAATGACTTGTTCTGAAACTCTAAACTTCCTGCTGTTAGCTGGATACATACATATGACCTCCCACAATTTCCATACCAACAATACGCCACAAATAATGAGGAGGAAGCAGAACAGATACGATCGTTTCTAAACAGCAGAAGAGCTAGAGGTAGGAGTGCAATATAATCAGGTCCATGGTTATTTCAGTTCAATATCAACTGTTTTTTTTTTTTTTTTTTGGTAGTGAATCTGTTGCATTGTGGCGTATTATAAATACGGTAAAAAGGTAAAAGTTGCTTATTTGCATGTAAAGGGAACATTGACGTAGAAGTTTTAAAAGAAAATGTAGCAAAAATGGCCCATTTATTTGTAAGGGTCAGATTATTATTATAATTATTCTTAAATAAATTACAGGGTTCCTACTAGGTTTTCAAAACTCTCAAAGTTAATGAGATAATTAAGTGATTGAGTGATGATTGAGTATTATTGAAGACACCTGACGGCGTGTTATCTTTTCTATTTGAAGAGTTCAGATGCAAAAGCCTCTAAATGCCATTTGAAATTTTCTTCTTTAATGATATACAAACTTGTATATTTAAGTTCAGTAATTTCACTTAAATAACTATTAATTGGTAATTATCATTGCCACTTAAGTGAAATCACTGAACTTAAATATATAAGCTTGATAAAAATGATCATTCTAGAAGAAAATTTCAAATGGCACTTAGAGGCTTTTGCATCTGAACTCTTCATTTATTCATCTGGCTGTTATAACTCATGTACAGCAGCCAAACAAAATATAAAGTTAATGATTTAAGGGTCAAGAGCCCAAATAAAGTGAACACTGATTACCATAATGGTGACTTAAATTACGGTTTTCTCCTTCAGTGATTCTGCTAGTTAGATGTCTTCAATAATGCTCAATTTTCACTCAATTATTCACTTAACAATCTCATTAACTTTAACACTGCTCAGAGTTTATATAACTCACACTCTCAGTGTTAATTTAACATTGGGGATTTTGCTGTGTAGTTTAAGTTGAAATCCATAACTAAAACCTAATAAAAACTATATATACATACTTAGAAACACCAAAAATATGACATAAAAATACAACAAAACTACTAAAACCTTAACTAGAACTAAAATGGAAATACAAAAATAAAGTCCAAATCAAAATATATAACAAAAGCTCTACTTTTCTGTAGAAATCTCTACCGTCCTGTATATTTAAGGCAAAAGCCAAAAAATAAAAATAGAGTATATTACATGTTTGATCAATAAATGAATGCCCCTCCCTCTAATATCATGTAGAGCCCTTCATAAAGCCCGGTTTCAATTGAACAAATGTTAATGCCATTGTGCCAAAACACTATGGTGGAGAGGATGTCATTAAAACCATGTGACAAGCAGGGGTCCAAATCAGCTGATCCCTGAACAAAATTCCCCAGTATCACTTATTGAATTCAATATTCTCAATCCTCCTCAAGTCAATAAAACTTGAGTTAATTTAACATCCTGTTGTCTCCTAACATGTGACCAAAGAGTTGAGTCAAACCCTGCAGTTATTTCCATTAGCAGAGGAACAAATGACTAAAAATATTCAATATCACATATATACCATTCCAGCTGTATTTTTCCTTAAATAGCGCTGTTTTTCATTTTCACCTTCTATAAAGCACTAGACGTCTCTCAGTTCTGTAGAACCCCCCTCTTCATCGCCAAGCACTGTTATTCGCTTCAAAAACTTAATGACAAGGCTAAACGCAGAAGATTTTCCGCCAAGTAGCCGTCACTTCGAGCATAAAAAGCACTAGAAGTCTTTTTCCCCCTCACTTTCTCTCGGATTTTCTCGGCTTCAGAAATGGCCAACACTAGATCTACCCCTCTGTAACAAATCCAGTGTATGGGAGCCTTTACATGAACAATGACTTCATATGTTGAGCTAAAGCCTTAATAAATAACACACCCAACAAAGTTAAACAGAATGACTTCTTTGGATTTCAATACAGCGTGCCGTAGTTGTGTTTAAAGCCCTGGCGAGAACAAAGACATTTTAATCACGGTATGTAAATCCCTGCAGGCCGCCTGATTCAAGCAGAATCCCTTATGTTACACTTTCCAAGACAAGAACATGGTTTTTGAGAAGAATACAGTGTGTTTTCGAGCAATCTCCATTAAAGTCATTGGGAGCCATTTACTCAATTCTATCACTCACTGTCAGTTCATTCATCCATCTTGTCCAAAGCTGCGTAAACAGATCTATCGCCTTTTACAAAACAGCATTCGACAACCTGTAGCATTTTTCCAACAGGAAGTCGGGCATGTAAACTAAAGCCTTTCTTTCTAACTGGCAGCATCTATGGAAAAGCGAACTGCACGCAAACTGCAGTGTTTGAATATGCCGTTCAAGCCAATAAGAAATGCAAAAACAGGCCATTTAAAGGCTGGAAGCGCTGCTTAGAAAATGATGTCAGTGAAGGCATTTGTGTGTTAGTGATCACACTAATTCAGTTTCATTTCCTGTACTGGTCAACTATGACCTGTCAATTTAGCTTTTAGAATATTTAAAATATTTTTTTAAATATTTATTTTAATAGCTGTATATATATATACACACAACTACTATACACATTGTTTTTTTAGCATATCGCTCCATGAGCACCATATTTTTAGGACAGCGGGTCAAGTTAAAGTAGATAGTTTAAAATAGAGTATATTAAAACCTAAACTAAAAAAAAATCTTATCTGATGGACCCAAAATCAGCATATTTATACAATGATGCTTGAAAACATGTATTTTGCACATTGTGTAAACATCAATAATATCAATTTAAACACTGCTATTCACATCACTGTACGCTGCAAACACAAAGTGATCACAGATCAGAGAAAGACTGCCATATACTGCCAGCCATCAGCCAAAATTGGGACGAATGGCTGTTTTTGAAATCAAAGCAGCTCTTTTTGAAAAAAATATGTTCCTCACACAAGCAGACGGACTGTGATGGACTCAGACCTCAGTGTAAAAGCACGCTTTCAGTTCATCTGAGAGTTGTACTCTATCATACAACAAGCTCTCGACTCTCAACTCGACAGGCTAAAAGCCACGAGTGTCTGTTTCAATCATCAGCTCAAAGTCACTCATTTCTGTTGGTGCACTAACAGTGATAAAACAGCCGGTTCCCATACGGCACTGGCAGCGCAGCCAACCATCAGTCAGGTAATGAAGATAAGGGTCTTGTTTTGCTGATTTGACTCAATTATTGAATCATTTGGCATCAATCCTCCATTCATTCATTCTTTCTTCACTCAATTATACAATGCAAGCAGCCTTCATGAGAACCAATAAGCCATAATTAACCTCTAAACATTAAGGCCAGAAACATACTCCGTGCATGTACACAAATGTTTGATCACTACATTGCAAGAAAGTGGTAGTGTTGTGATCCATGCCAAACATGATTGTGGCAGTAAAAAAAAAAAAACACAGGTTACCTTTATTTTCCACCGCTTTCCATACTTCTTAACTTAAAAACACTTTTTACATGCTTTTTAAGTTATTGTTTATTTATTAATATCTACATCTACCGATAAATAGCACAATTTAACGAGACTAAGTAAATGAGTAAATGTTTTATATAACAGACTATCATTTTCAAGTTCAAATGTGGAGGCTATTATGTAAACTTAATACATAAAAGACAATTTTCAAACCACTTTGTATTGTTAAAATGTCAGTAGTATATGTAATTGAACAGCGTTACCTGGCACAAGAAATTCTCATTTATTTCCCAGCTTATGCAAAGCGCAACATTGGCTTTTTAATTAACTGTTGGAATGGCAGTTTCTTTCAGTTTATCCCCTCCATTCGTGTTCGTGGTCATCCAGTTTGAAATGGAGACAACAAACACAAACGTTTTTCAGTTTTTTTTGCAGCCTTTATCAACAGCCAATGGATTCCTCAATGGAAACTGAAGAAAACACACTCCCGCTAAACGTTTACTCTTTGAATACTTGTGCAAGGGAACAATACAAGTCAACACCATTATGACTATTTCATACTCAAGCAAGGTGATACTTAATATTGGTCAAGCCTATCCAATAGGAGCAGACTGTGAATGGCCTTGAACTGCGAAATGCCCAGTGCATTATGGGTGTTGTATTGTATAATTTATAAAAATTCCACTAACCAAATTCATCACAGACACTCTCGTTCTCAACCAGCGTAGGGTGCTCGAAAGTGTCCCTGCAGTACAGGATCTGTGTGTTGTTGGTGAGGGAGGCGATTCCTCCCAGGGCCAGCACCACATGGTCCGTCAGGAGGGAGTTTGGCCTCTCCCGAAGCCGCGCGATGATGGAACGGTAACGACAGTACTGGGGGTAACTCAATACCAGAACCTTCTTTTCCTCTGCATCATCACCTAAAGACAAGAAAAAATAATATTTTTTTAAAAAAAAAAAGAGAGAACATCTGCAATTCTACCACACAAAAAGTAACTCGAAATTGATAAAAATTGACTTTTAAACCTTTAAATAAAATTGTTAGTAAATTTCACTAGTTAATACATTGAATTAAACTATGAAGAATAAAGTAGAAAACATTTTTTTTTTATTGTAATACAATGAAGGACTTGAATGAAAATCTGACTGCTAAGTGCGAACATTTTTTTCCGCATAGCAGTCAACCTCGCATTAGGATCTTACGGTTGCAGTCAGCGAAGATTCTACCAAAAACATTGCAGTTAATACCCCTATTATGCTTTTTTCTTACGCTGCTCTGATTGGTTAGACGGCCCAAATCTGTTGTGATTGGTCTACTGGTTACAGAGTGTGTTGGAAACAAGGCATCCAATTCCATATGTGAATTTCAGCTAACACAATCCAACTTGTGTATTCATTGCAAATACAATGTTTGATATCATTTGATGAGTCATAATGGCATACAGCTCAAAGATCATTGATGAATCCTGTTGTCTCCAATATTAGCTTGGCAGTAATGATAATTCAATCCAAATCAAAGCGGTGTGACTTCTCATAGCTAATCTTATTCTATAATGGATAAAGGATTGTGGATGCAAGTTGCTCCCAGGGGTGTGGATAAAGATTTGTAGGCTATTATGTTTTACTCTAGCCTGAGCTGCTGGTTTAACATGACAGCTCTCTGTTAGGATTGGCAATATAAAAGATTCTGGGCAGGAAGCCACGTCACTCAGTTCTTGGAGATCAGAGATCTGAGCAATAGCATTTGCCTGTTAGTCTTCCCATCAGAACTCGAAAAAAAAAAAAAAAAACACCCCTCTTGGCTGAATCAAAGAGTCATCGCATCTCTAGATCTCAAAAACCTGACATCTCAGAATTCAATTTGTTGTATGACAGACAAGTCGCAAACCTCAAACGATGGCGTCCTTGGCGAGAACGAGCTTATTTTGCTTTATTCACACACAATGGCCGAAAACATTCTGGTGTGTGTAAGCAATAAGGTATGAAAGGCTCTGCTTAGCATTGTGATCAGTGTCATTTTTAAACATATTTTTCCACACGGAACAGCAAAAATAACGACTGTTTTCAAAAAGGTTTCCCGAACACCATTGCCATCTGCCATTGGTCACACAAACTGAATCCACCCCAAATCTGGTCATGAGAGAAAGATGAGTAAACACAAACCATCTAAGAACTTTACAGAACTGATGACATAAAATAATTTTGTTGGCCTTTTATTGCTCAACATATTTGATCACATTTGATGGTGCATGGCTATAGCGGCCTGTTTCAACTGAAATATAGAGACTGCAGTCTCAAATTGATGGCTGTAGAGAAGAGAACATGAAATATTTTGATTTATACAGCTTATTCTTTTTTTGGACTTTTACTGCATCCATTACATTTCCTCTCATTCTTTTTTATCTGTCTCATCCATTTTAAAAAGCCTAGACATTCTAGTCCGTATAGGCCAAATTAAAATCAACAGTGTCATAATGGTGACATTATCTGTTGAACTGATATTTAAAACATGGAAGACTTTAATTCCCAAAACATAATATTTAACTCTGTCACACATTTTATGTACAACACTGTTACTATATTATTTTCTCAGTAAAAAAAATAAATAAAAATGTGAACGTAATATAGTCATATAGTCATAGTCTGTTTCTTAATATTTTATGGTTATATATAACCGTGATAATTTTATAGGATTATTTGATGAATAGAATGATTAAAAATAACTAGGAATTGTTAAAAATAGTCATTTGTAACATTATAAATGTCTTTACAGATACGTTTGATCAATTTAATGTACCCTTGGTGAATAAAAGTATTATTTTTTTTATATCATATTGACCTCAAGAGTTTAAATTATATTGCTTATGTCTTTTTTTAAATAGTATTAATTTAGTATATTTATTTGATGTATTTTGAAAATTTACATTTAAGTTTAAAATGACACAAATAAGGGCTTTGTAGGAAGTTATAAGAAATAAGATATACCTTAAGATATACCTTCTGACGAGCGGTGTTACCGGGTGCTATCCGTGGCGATGGTTCTGAATTTGTTGATATCGATGGCTCAAGAATCAATTATTCACTCATGCAGGGGCTGCTTCACTGCGTTATGTGAGCAAGTGGTGTCCTTTATAAAATAATCCCTTCAGAAATAGTGAAAATTGCATTTATTAGGATTAATGGGATATTACAAAAAATAAACTAGCCAAACTATAGCCTAGCCTATATATTTTAAAATTGTATCATATACTGCTGCCACAATAATGGCCCACTACAACTGTTTACAAGCTTTTTTCTTTCTCCTTTTTGTTCGCTGAGGTGGAGCTGTGATTAAATATTGTTCTTGTAAATACTTTCCAGCATTTCAGTAATAAAAGTGTACATCGTACGTACGGTGCTCGGCAATGATCAAAAAAGGTTTTAAACAGTGAAGTTTGAAGTGATCTCTTCTTTTAAAATTAAGAGATTTGTGGATTTGCAGTTAAATCACCACACGACCTTGGTGTTCGTCAAAAAACAGTAGGTAATTTGCCCGGAGATTTTTACTCAGGTGGTGGGAGAAACACTAAGATTCTGGATTCGGACAGCTATAAAATCACCGACTATCCCCTGTAAATTTTGAAAATACCGTACGAACCCATTAGAAACAATTAGCGTCCGAATAGGGCTTAATTGACAGTATGCTTTCACTGGCCTTGAAAAGGCTCCGGGGTCTTTCATTTAGCACAACTATTCGCTGTATCGCTGCCATAGTTTGAGCAATCATTCACAATTATTCCTTTTAAACAGACTCCTAAGCCTTTACTGCCTAATGGTTTTCCAGCTGATGTACCTTTAGTTAATATAATTAAAAAAGCTAACAACAATCAGTGCAATTACAATTTTATTCTGTGCATGATAACACTTGAATTCACCTCAGCGCATTAACTTCAGAATTATATTCATATACTGAGATGTAAAGATGTTTTGTGTGTGTGTGTGTGTGTGTGCTGGTGGCCACCTGTTAACAGTGATAAGGTTTAGTTAAGAGTGATATAAAGACCAACCTTATGGACGTATGACTTACAGAAGGTATACTTAAAGGGATACTCCACTTTTTTTGGAAATAGGCTCATTTTACAACTCCCTCAGAGTTAAACAGTTGAGTTTTACCGTTTTCGAATCCATTCAGCCGATTTTCTGATATTTAGAAGAATTTCAGGTTTCTGGTCTCATTGACTTCCATAGTAGGAAAAAAATATACTATGGAAGTCAATGAGACCAGAAACTGTCCGGTTACTGAAATTCTTCTAAATATCAGAAAATCGGCTGAATGGATTCGAAAACGGTAAAACTCGGTAAAACAAGTATCCCTTTAACTAAGAATGTTTCATGAAACACGCATTAACGATAAGTTACGGCTTAAGGTTAGAACTTAAGAGATGTAGCGTTAAGAAGCTTTCGGGAAATGCAGCCTTGGACTGTATTAAGACATTTGCAATTTTGGTAACATTTTATTAGAAAAAGAAAGCAAGTCTCATGTAATATTTATATGGACAAATAACATTTTCTTTAGGGGCTATTCACTGGCCATTTGTTGAATAAAAAAACAAACAAACAAAAAAAACAACAACATTTTAACAGCTCGAAGACCCATTTAAGACGCACAGTATTCACCTCATTTACTTGCAATTGTCACCACTGAGGTCAGTCTCAAATTATACTTTAAGGGCCACACTGTGTCATGTGAATCACTTCTCTAGTAAATTAAACAATTGAAGTATTTATAAGCGAGTCATTGAATCATTCAATCAAACTATTTCCATCACACTTTAGATTAGGGTCCAATTCTCACGATTAACTAACTATTAACTACGACTTTTGCCTCAATAAACTTCTAATTACTGCTTATTAATAGTTAGTAAGCTAGTTGTTGAGTTTAGGAATGGGATAGGATTAAGAGATGTGCAATATGATCATGAATAAGGCATTAATATGTGCTTTATAAGTACTACACATAGGTGCTGACTAGTTGCAAAACCAACAGACTTAAATCTGCTTGAGCAATCCTAACAAGTCTCATCAGATTGGACATTTTCCCTTTGTCAGTTTGCTCTCCATATACTACTCAAGTGCTCCACAAAATGTCAAATGGGCCTCTGTGGGAATATATTTACATAACACCTCTCCAGCACTCGCCGCTGCCAAAGAGGACCAATTAAACATAAAACACAGGCGTATGTGGTAAAACGCCCCTGAGTTTTAATAATTCATGATATTTTTGTTCTATAAAACGTGGTTTGAGCATCTGTGACATCAATCAAAACCATTTTTGAACAGAAGCTTTGTTTTGGTGAGATGGAGCGAAATTCAGGCGCTCGACTTTTTCATTATTTCACAAAAGGACAGAATGTCAAGTTACAAGACAAAACAAAAAGCCCAGGGAGACAGATAAAGTGAGAACAGTGTATAAATACTAATTGAAAATTGAAAGGTATTTTCAATAATAAAAAAAAAATAGTATATGTTACATTACAATTATAGTGCATAACTTCAGATAAACATCTCATAATGCTTGTTTAAAGATGATTCTCGAACGTGCCCAAGCTTGTGGTGGGAGTTTACAGGGCCATTTATCTAAATTACCCGTCACTCGTCTTCCGTGAGGTTTTTCGCCAAATCAACAATTACGAATAAGTCCATAACCCCGACGTTCTAAAACATGAAAAAGCTCCTTTGATTAGAACACAATGAAACCTGAGCTCTCAGTACCACATTGTTTGCTATCAGCCAAACACATTCTGCAGACACCAGGGAACTCTGACTAATCCCCAATAAAAACAATGTACATTACGCATATTCTTCAAACGTTTCGCCAAGTAGGCCGGTGAATTCCCAGAAAGTCAAACACAGACCTTAAGATACATTCCTCTACATCTCC